CATTTACTCTGACGCCGTACCTGCTATCAGAGTACAGTGACTGAATGGCCCGTAACAGCAGGCCATCTGTGCCGTATCCACCAGAAACTGTTGCGCAGGATCCGGTCATACGGTCTGTAAGGTTTCGGCGCCGATCGATAGCCGCTGTCAAGGTGCAACGCGTTTCGTTTTATATGATTGGTGTGTGTTCATCTCCATTACTGTTACAACCAACACAACAACTTATATCGCATCTATGCGAAACTTCCGTGAGCACACCGAAATTTCTATCAAACTGATTTATTTCTAAGGTTTCGTGTTTTATTTTATGGCTCCGTTTTTATACCTGCGAGAACTCATTAATTCAGAGCTTCTAATTCATCGGTTCCCTTTTATAACTGCGTCATTAGTGAAAAGTCGTTAGTTTAAGGCACAGTAATATTGTAACTATTGTAAAATGACACCATTTGGACAGATCAGTTCCATTATGACGTTTCCATCGCTGATTACATAAAGCAAATGAATTGTACTAGAAAGAGTGAGTGAACGAATGTACTGGAAGAGTGAGCCACTGAGTTTACCAAAAATGTTCGCAATGCCGCTTACAAAACGAGAAAGGAAGAAATTTCGTCAGAGGGCTTTTCACATATCTTTGACAGGAATAGCGCTGACGGAACAAAGAAATTTTGGCGCTGCGAACTGAAGGATCGATGGAAGGATACACACAACAGGTCCTACTGTTTTCATGAAGACTGGTGAACTTTCGCATGATAGTTCGGCGGCGGGTGTGGAAGTAGCAGAATTTGTGACGAAGATCAAAAGACGTGCCGAAGACACCGTGAAAGCACCGGTATAAGTTATAAACGAGTGCGCGCTTGGACTGTTGCATGGGGCTCTGGGTTCACTTCAAAATCTTCGAGCACTTAAGAAGATTATAATACGAAGAAGAAATGAGGTGAACGCCGCTCTATCAGCTCCCATCAATCTAGAGACACTGATTCTGTCAGGATTATGCAAACGGTACGAAACGCAGCCGGGTGTCTTTGAATCGTTTGTAATTGGTGACAGTGGACCTGGACCAAATCGATTATTACTTTTTGGCACGCAGAAAAACCTGCAGACCTTGAGGGAGTCGAGAACGTGATTTGCAGATGGAACATTTCATCCTGCTCCGCCACTGTTCTCTCAAATCTGCACAGTACTGGAAGAAAGGCTTGGTGGTGTCCATCCTGTTGTATACGCGCTTTAGCCAGAAAAGCAGACAGGAATTTACATGCTCATTCAGACGTTAGATCAAGTGTTCCCGAAATTCATGAAGATTTTATTTCTTGTCACTTCGAATTACTCCAATACATGCGATGAAGAACTTATTACCAGATGTATACTTAATGGATGTTTCTATCATCTAAACAAAAACATGAAGAAGCGGTTGGGTGAATTGGATTTGCTCTGTGCGTAAAAGGGCGATGCTGATTTGGCGCTGAAAGCGAGGATCATAAGAACATTGGCGTTTTTACCCATTACTGCACTGGATGAAGCAATTTACCCGCTAGCTGAAGAACTTCCAGACGAACTTACAGCCGCTTCTTGCATGGTTCGAAGACAATTACGTCGATCGAATGAATCGTAGGGGAAATGCGAGATGTCTGCCACTGCTTCCACCAGAAATGTGCTCACTTCACGGTAGGGTGATCAGCAGCGAACACCGTACAAACAACAATGCGGAAGCAGCTCATCGACGAATTCAGACCGAGTTAGGAATGTCACACCCGTCGCTATGGAAGTTAATTGATGGGCTCAAAAAGTGCAAAAGGGTCGTGAAATATACTACGAACAGCTTGCTGCCGGTCATCAACCTCGTGTAAAGTTGAAGAAATATCGGGATGAGGACGAAAGAATAAAATCAATTCTGAATGACTATCACAATATAGATTTCCTAACTTACCTTCATGGGTTAGCGCATAATTATGAAATGACGCAATGATGTTATGTATTACATGTAAATTTTGCTACAGAAATAAAGTTGCTTTGTACATCAGCCCTCGTAGTTCTTCTGTGGAAAGTTGACCTCAAAGTTGAAACAAATTTAAATTTTGTCACATGATTTGGCAATTTTGCAAAAAAATTAACAAATGCTTTGTTTTTGGGGAGATATTAATATATAAATAATAAATTCTGATGATGAATGAAATCTTAGAACCTTCGAAATTCATCAGTTTGACACAAGTTTAACATAAACCTCACGGAGAGCTGCTCATATATATGTACCTTGATGGGCTGAACGTTAAACTGAAGGAGATGACTACAGACCGATCATACAGAGTGAAACGCACTGCACGTTGATAGCGATTACCGATCGGCGCAGAAACGTCGCGCGCCCAATCGACCCACTCCGTCCACTCGGTACCAGTCTCCTAGATGGCTGCACCGAAATGCAACGGAACAACTCGTTGTTAATGGGAATAACGATTTAGTATCAGAAATTTTACGCCATGCATGGGAATGCAACTTGACGCCGCCAAGTTGTTGAATAACCATCGTATTACTGAGATACATCGTCTCCGCCACAACCTCTGTCAACGGGCCTGCTGCCTACCCAAAAGGAAGGCCAATATTTCGCATTTCTCATAATAGGATATCTAACTCGCTGCCGCGCTTCATGATTAACAATTTTATTGGCTGGTAATGCAACAGATAATTTTACTGCAGCTCTCAACTGTAGATGATAAACAAACATAAAACATGAAAGTATCGGAATCGAACAAAATGGGGGAGTGAGAATAAAAGTCATAAACTGTTTAATGAGTCAGATAGGTTGATAAACTCTTACACGTGGTTCATTTCCAATATCTGAATGGAATGTGGCCTTTCACCGAGGATGCGCTGAATTTCAAGATTCTTACGACCGCACTGGTACATGATGTACTTATCGAATGGACACACGTCAGGGTAGCTGCTGGGCATAAAATACATTGTCATCGTCAAATCGTAACTGGTCAGGGGTGTAGATGCGGTGAGCGACTGAGCAACAGCACAGCTCAAACACGTAACTAAATTCAGAACCATTACCACAACGATACTATGATTAGCTGAATACAACTTACCCAACATACACAATGCACGCATTACTGTCGCTTCAAAAGCCACTGCATCAAATTCCGCCAC